TTGATGCTAATGGATCTTATAGTCAACCTAAACCTTAATGAATACGGATGTTGGTTATGTTTTGTGTGTTAGGTACACCTTTGAGTATTTTTTTTCTTGCTGGATTTTTTTTTGTATGAATATCAGCTATTTTCCCTAGATGTTTAGGATTTAGGATGGATTCTCGATTAAATAATCTTGATTGGTTACTGCAATGACAATCATTCGAATAAAAAAAAAACTTATTGTCATGTTTTGAATGTTTGGCATGATCTAGTGTATTTTTACTTTTTTAAATTTTTTTTTGAACACCATCTACTTGTCTCCAATCTATGTGTGAAATTTAAGATCTTTATGATATAGGATGGTTTTTCATTTAAGTTATGGTTTTTCATATTAGTTGTTTTGTTGGTCGTTGTAGTACTAATTTTTTAAAGCTGAAAATAGCTATTTTTTTGTCTTACATGTTTGGTGGAGCCTAGATGCTTTTACCTCCTAAATAGTTTACATGAACATTATTTATTTTTCTCTAATTCACGTATAAAATTTTAGATATTTTGGATTTAGAATGAGTTTTTATTTTAAATCATCTTTTCGGTTATAAGAGTAGTCATTTCTCAAGCCATAAAAGATTGACGTCGAGTTTTTTTTTTTTTTTAATGTTTAAGGTAGACTTAGATTTTTTTATCTGTTAATTTTTTTTTTGTATGAATATCATATATTTGTCTCTCGATTCCAGCATGAAATTTTAGATTTTTAGGATATAGGATGGTTGTCTATTTAAATCATCTTGTCGGCTAGAAGCAGTAGTAATCTATCAAACTAAAATTTATTGTTGTGGTATTTTGCATGTTTGATATGTCCTCAAATGTTTTTACAATACGATTTTTTATAGGACGTCTATTGGCATTTTGTTTAAATTTATTTTTATTATTGCTACATTTATTGTGTAGGATATAAAATTGTCGAGTCTCCTAAATTCTAGGGATCAGCAACAATTTCATGTAGGTTCTTGGTCACAATTAATAAAAGGCATTCCATTCTAAATTAACTAGAATAGTTAAGTTGAACCATCGAGTTTCTTATTCAATAAGGACCGGCAATTGTTGTGACGTTTTATTTAAGACAAATGACTAAATAATAAAAAGTGAATTAGCTAGGGTTAGGTAGTGGCTAGTCTTATCTTACATTCCAAGTTAACACCTTAGCTTACTAGGTCATTTCATGACATGCAAATCGTTTTAGGACTTAATTAGGTCTAATGCTAAATTGATGAGACTCTCAATTTTGAGGCTTGATGTTAATTTAATACAATTCCACGATAAAAAAATAAACTCATTCTTTAGACTTAGACAAATAAACTTGAAAATAGACTTAGAAAATAATTCAACGAGACATAGCTATTAGGATTAGACTAAACTCGATACTCTTTTCTTGAAAAAAGCATCTTTAGGTGATTGTTATCTTTATAAAAATATAACCAATCTTTTTTTTTTTATCAAAAATATCTAAATTCGAGTGTCTTCCTTAGGTTTTTTAGTTTTCTTCAATATTAGGTAGCGACTCCATAACTTTCTTTATTTTTTTTCCTTTATCCAAAATTTAAAAGTTTCATATTTCAAGTAGGGGCACAGATAAAAAAAAATGATTAAAAATTTATTAAATAACTATTTGTAGTACGGAAACATTATGAATCACCATCCCATTTTTGTATAGCCAAAAGGCACAATAAACCTTCCAATAAATTCCAAAAAAATAAAATAAAATAACAAATAAAATGGAGTAGTCTATTCCAAAATAATGGCACAAATGAGACCAATACTCATCTACAAATTAAAGATCTTTTAGAAATATAACCAATTCCAACCACAAAAACGACACCAGCGGATTTAATTGCAACTCCCATATATCATCATCAGAGTTCAATGTTCTTTTATGATACCTTAAAAGGTCCATTACTTTTTCTAGAATTTAGGATTAAGTACTTCATTATCCTTGTCGTTGATTGATGAATATGAGCCACTGATCAATATCAATAAGTTTCTAATTTCAAGTAATAATATAAAAATAAACAAATTTTATAAAATTCTAACTTAAATACATGTGCGAGTTATATATATATATATATATATATATAATAAATATTTATTATTTATGAAATTTATATTTTAGTTGATATAGATATTACTATGGAAGGTTGGTTATATATTTTTTTCATTTATTTAATCCATTTGTGTTATTACTAAGTAGCAGAAAAGGTGTAACACAATTTAATAGCTTGAAAACTGCTCGTAAATGTTGTAAAATGAATCATACTTGCAAGAAAATAGATACTATAAAAGTATATGTAATCTTATGGTCTTTTTAAATGTTTATTGATCACTTTATGGGCTTATTCACTGTATAATAAAAGATTTGCAAGGGCAGATAGGTCATAAAAGAAAAGCTAAATTTCCGTCCACTTTAGGACTTAATTGAATATGTTTAGCATTTGAGGACCAAAATGTTCTTTTTCATTGGAGCACATTGAGTCCGTTTTCGAGGTTTCCATAGTTTGTTGGCGCGCCATTTTCCTATAATATAATTATATATTTTTATTCTGAATATGCTTCGCTACTTATTAAACAAATGTATATTTGTTGATTTCATTTGAACTAAATTTGAGATTTCTATTTTCTATATTTATTATATAATAGAGAAGTATCGTGATGTTATTCTGTAATTCATGTTTTATTAGTTGGTATAGATATTACTATAAAAGGTTAGTTATTTATTTTTTATTTATTTAATCCATTTGTGTTATTACTAAGTAGCAAACAAGGTTTAACATGATTTAATAGTAAAAAAATTACTCGTAAATTTTGTAAAATGAATCATTCTTGCAAGAAAATAGATACTACAAAAGTATTTGTAATTTTATGCTTTTTTTAAATGTTTATTGATCACTTTATGGGCTTATTCACTGTATCATAGAAGATTTGCAAGGGCAGATAGGTCATAAAAGAAAAGCTAAATTTCCGTCCTCTTTAGGGCTTAATTGAATGTGTTTAGCATTTGAGGACCAAAATGTTCTCTTTTCATTGGCGCACAATGAGTCCGTTTTCGAGGTTTCCATAGTTGGTCGGCGTACCATTTTCCTATAATATAATTATATATTTTCATTCTGAACATGCTTGGCTGCTTATTAGTATTAAACAAATGTATATTCGTTGACTTCATATTGAAGTAAATTTGAAATTTCGATTTATTATGTAATAGAGAAGAATCGGGATATCATTCTGTAATTCAAAATCTTTTAACCATATATATATATATATATATATATATATATATATATATATATATAGATATATGCCTTTGAAAGTTAATTAATTTTTTCCTTACTCTATGTATAATATCCTCTGATTACTGAATTTCCGACATACAAAATTGCCAAGCTTTATATTCGGAAATTTTATCTGATACATAGTACTCCGTCATTAAATATACATATTGGACTCAGTACAAGACAGTAATAGATTTAATAACTGATGAATTAATGCAACATGACCCACATAGGTTGGCGAAGATTGACTTTATCAATTTAACCCTTATATTTAAAGGTTATTTCATCATCGTTCTACGATGGCCTCCTCGGAAAGTAATTTAATATCTGTGTACTCTTTGTTTGAACTTAATCCAAGTCACCGTTAGTTTATATATATATATTGGAGCAAATTATAAATTAGTTCATTTTAGTTTTAATAAATAAATTAATTAGTCTTTTCTGTTTTAAAAATTAATTATTTAATTTGTTTTTTTGCTATTTTCTATTACCGTTAGTATTTTTTATAAATTATAAATAAAATTTTTAAGAAATAGAAAAATAAAAATAAATAGACATTATAGAAAAAATAGATAAAAAAATATTTTTTTAAAATAAAAAATATTAAATTAAATATGGTCAATACTGATTAAAGAACTAAATGATTAGTTTTTAAAATAAAAAAAAATTCATTCATTCATTTCTTAAAACTATAAAGACTAATTTATAATTTACTCTTTTACATTGGTCCTCGCTTATAAATTTCTTGTTACAATTTCAGTTACGTCTAGTTGTTTTTTTCTTTTTGGTCGGCCACGCAAAATTTTGGGAAAATCTTTCAAAGAAATTGTTGGAAAGGCAAGTACGACAAGCCATTATAAATTTATGCTTTACCTTTGGAGCCCAGACCCAAAAAAATAAAAATAAAAAAAATAAAAATAAAAATAAAAAATAATAATAATAATAATTCTTGTGCATAATACTATTTAATGGGTACTATTATTATAACCAAATAAATAAAATTCTAATATTTTAAAGAATACTGCTAAATTCATTAAAAAAATTGTTATTCTTATCAATTTTTTTTTCTATATAATTACTAATACATCTTTCACTAATTATAAATAACTATTATATAACATATTTTAGTAGATGATGTATTGATAATTTTTTTTAAAAAAAAATTAATAAAAATAACAATTTGGTTGATAAATTTAACAATAACTTATTTTAAAATGGCATTAAGTAGGAGGTTGAAAAATGAGGAAAATTATTACATCAATAATTACTATAAAAGTAATTTTTAAAGATATAAAACACCCATTTGAAGGATAATGATTACCCCTTAATCATTCATTTAAAAAAAAATAACCAACTTAAATTTTAGAAAGATAAATTTTATCCTCCACCAAACAAACATAATCTAAGCATATAATTTTTCGAATGAACGATTACATAATTAATAATAATTGAATAACCCAATAAGCTTTTAGCTCGACAGCATGTTTCCTTCGTACCTCCTTCTCTAAACAGTCTCGATTTTGAGTATCTGTATTTAACAAATTAAAAGAGAATGACAATAATCCAGTAAAAATCCAAAGACATTGATAACAAGAACAAAGGAATAAACCAAAAAAAAAAAAAAAACTAGAACATGGGAGAGACTCGTTCAAGGGGATCAGACCGTTGGAATTGCAGCTCTAGCTATGGACTTCACCTATTTAATCCTGCAACATAAAAATTAAAGGAAATATTAGTAAGAAAATGCTACTCACATCTCAATTAGTTGAGGAAAAAAAAATGCAAGCACACAAGGAAATTTTCTTACGAAAATTCTTCCAAACACACAAGATAATAATGGTTGAGTTATTAAATACACTACTGGACACACATATATTATAACGCACATAAATTTATAGAAACAAATATTTATGACATTAGGAACCCAAAAAGGAAAAACAAAATATTGGAGGTAGAAAATGCAAACCGAGAGCAGTTAATGGAGTTGCTAATCCGGTAAGGAACTTTAACTTTGCAGATGCCAGGGAGAGCAGCTGCAAACCTAGCATTGACTACACGAAGACCACCAACCTGGTTGAACAAGCTTTTCAAGCACTTACAAGTGTCTCGCCGGTCCTTGGTGGTTCTAGCGGAGTTGTTAACAAACCGAACTGCGTTGCAGCAATCGCGAGAAACTCTCCCACCTTTCCTCAGGTAGGGAAAGCAATTTTGCACGTTACGGGCTACAGTATGACATGGGACTGAGGCTTCAACGTTCAACATGGGGGCAGAGAGCACCATGCATAGCAAGAGAGCACAGATCAGCTTAGCATTAGCCATGTTTGATAGTTTAAGGAAGGCTTAAGAGAATTCTTGATTTGGGACGAACTTCTTGAGAGAGAAGTAGATGTGAAGGGAGTTTGCTACTTAGCAAGAATAGCAAGAAGTGGGATTTATTTAAAAGAAGTTAGAAATGCGAACACAAGTTGTCGGCCTCAATTAATGACGGAGAATGGAGACCGCACTAATATTAATTATTTAGTTAAATCAGAATTCAGAGAATTTTCTGATCATTGGCATTAAAATGAGCAATAAAGGCAGTTGGAATGGAAAATGATAGCTAGACATTGCGTTAATCGCAACTATAAAAATCATGGTCCACCTTTTTCTTTCATTTCAACGCAAGGCAAAGTTTCATTAAAAGATGGCAAATTGGCCTAGCTAGCTAGCATCCTAGATATTGCAATGGATTCTGACCAGAAGGGGGCAAAAAAATTGTGAATCTGCAGTTGATAGAGAAAGATAGCTTGGATGGACATCGATCTTATGACTTGAGACATTACAAATGGTTTTGGTTGGTAGAGACTTTCAGGTGAGTAGTAGGAGAAACAGCAGCATGGGTATGGTAGTGAGCAACAACAGCAGTACCAGAAATAGGAGTTTTTCATGGTGACTTCAATTTTTTCTTTTTTTTTCCTTTCGCCTTTCCACATGATTTGTTTCTGAAGTCTTTGAGGTGCCCCTGATTTTAGTCACCTGAAGTAAGTTAGTTTCGCTAATTGATTTTACAGTATTATGAACTTTTGGTCAAATGAAAAAACGGTCTCTAACCTTTAATTTTTCTCATTTAAATTCGGAACTTTTTTTGTTAGTAATTATTAGTTTTTTTACTCGTGATATGTTGCAAATCAAACATAATACATAAAAATTATTTTTTAAAAAAATTATTTTAGTTTGATGTTCTATGTTATATTGTGTATATACCAAAATATATCAAATCAAAATTGAATAAAAATTTATTCAATTTTATAATTTTTTAATCAAAATTTTATAGTTTATTGATTATTCTTTATATTTTTAAAAAATATACTAAGGAAGCCTCACCTTCTTTTTGAATTTCCCTTAGAAAACAAAATTTAATCTTAAAATGCTTTGGCTTCACATGCAACACTCGGATTTGAGGAAATTGATATGGTTGCTTGATTAGCAACAAAAATTTGAGTTAGTTCTTATTGCACTAGATATCGCAAAATTTTTCTCAGCCATATAGCATGGTTTGCCATTGTAGTTGCAGCAACAAATTCAACTTCGTAGTACTTTGAGCGAGGATTTCTTGCTTCTTGGAAACATCAATTTATCACACTCGAACCAAAACTGAAGTAGAAACTCGTTATACTCCTCATATCATCAACCGAACCCGCCTAATCACCGTCGGAAAAGCCTCGTTAACTTAAAATTCTAAGGGCTTGCATACTTAACACCATAGTCAACAATTCTTTTGATGTATCTCATAATACGTTTAGTAGCTTGTATATGTTCCTCACTTGCACAATGCATAAACTTAGACAAAAGACTTAAAGCTTGTACAATATCGAGTCCGGAGGCAATGAGATACATGAGGCATCCGATCAAGCTTGTGTAGTAATTCTCATCAACCTTGACCACACCATCATCCTTGTAGAACTTCATTCCGACTTGCATAGGAGTATCAATAGGCTTGTAGCTTTCCATATGAAACTTCTTTAAGATCTCGTTGGCGTATATGCACCGATTGATAAGGATTTCATTCTTCCGTTGCCTCACTTCCAAACCCGGAAAGTAGGACATTAATCCCAAGTCGGTCATTTTGAATTCCTTCGACGATTATAGTTTTAAAACATCAATAAGCTCCCGATTGCTTCTTGTGATCAATAAATCATCAACATAAACGAAACAACTACAATGTCGGTACCTTCCTTCTTCACATATAGAGTTGCTTCACTTAGAATTTTGACGAAGTCTAAGCTTATTAAGTGATCATTTATACAACCGTACCAAGCCCTCGGTGCTTGCTTGAGGCCATATAAAGCCATTTTCAACAAGTACACTTTTTCTTCATGACCTTACACAACAAAACCTTTAGGTTGTTCAACATAAATTTCCTCCTCTAGAAAACCATTTAGGAATGCAAACTTTACATCTAGTTGGAACACTTTCCAACCCTTTTCAAGCAACCACAACAAGCAACAATGTAATGGTGTCAAATCTAGCTACAAGAGCAAAGGTCTCCGAAAAATCCACACCAAAAACTTATGCATATCCTTTTACAAATAGCCTGGCTTTGTGCTTATTTACTAACCTATCAACATTGAGTTTTGTTATGTGCACCCATTTTACTCCAATAACCCTCTTGTTTTGAGGTCTCACGACAAGCTACCATGTATGATTTTCTCAATCATGTGCAGCTCATGTTGCATACTAGCAATCCATTTTTGCTATTGTATTTCTTCCCGAACATCTATTGGTTCCATCATAGTAATATTGCACCTTGCATAGATGTCGGAAAGTAGTTTAATGCCACTAACTAGTTGCTCATTACCATCATCTTTATTAAGTTGCAATCCATTAGAATGTTGAATACCATCACTTGCATTTTAGTCGTACTCGCTCATCCTCCATAAAAGCAACATCCCCGCTAATAATGTTTTTTTTTTTCGGATTGTGGTTGAAAAATCCTATAGGCTTTTAAGGTGTCGTTATAGCTTATGAACATTCTAGTTTCAGACTTTCTTGTCTAATTTATCTCTTTTAACTTGGGAAACATAAGAAAAACATAAACAATCAAATACTTTTAAATTGGATTGTGAAGGTTTATGACCAAACCATGCCTCATAAGAAGTTTGATTTTGTAGAACTCGGTTGGCAATCTGTTCAATAAGAAGACCGTAGTATTTATAGCCTCTACTCAAAATGTCTTAGGCAATCCCTTCTCATGCAGCGAAGTAACGAGTCATCTCTATGAGAGTTCGTTCTTCCTCTCATTGACATTATTTTGCCGAGGTGTATAGGGTGTAGTGAGCTAATGCTCTATTCCCGCCTCCTCATAGAATTTGTTGAACTACTCGTGGTATACTCATTCCCATTATCGGACCTTATGATCATCATTTTGTAGCCACTCTTGTTTTCCACCCAAGATTGAACCTCTAGAACATGTTTGCCACTTCGATTTGAACCTAAGAAAGTAGAGTTAGAACATTCTTGTTAGATCATCTATAAAGGCAATATAGTACTCAATGTCTTTGAAAGATTATGTTCCGTAAGGTCCTCCAAGATCGGTATGCATCAACCGAAGCTTGTTTGAGGCCCTCCAAGCCTTTTGTAGAAAGGGCAACCTATGTTGTTTGCCATACCGAGAGGCTTTACAACTTGATAAGTTATCTTTCAATAAATCTAAGTCATTTAGCATTGCATGCGTTTGCATCAATAACATTGTAACATGGTAAAAATGTCCTAATCTCTTATGCAAGAGATTAGTAACTTTCATAGAAACTTGATATGTAGCCTACTTCTTATCCATCAAGTTAAGTGAGAAGCACTTTCCCTTCATCTTGATAGAAAACACTTTTATCCCCTTTGCATCCTTAATCATACAAGTTACTGTCTTTAAAAAACACTTTGAAACCCTTGTCAATTAATTCACCAACACTCAAAAGACTCGATCAATCTCTAGAACATACGGAACATCAAAAATCAGATTAACATTAACGGTAGTTTCAATCACAAAAGAACCCTTATCTTCAATAGAGATAAATTCTCCATTCCTAATTTTTTTCCTTTAATATGGAGGTTTTATCAAGCTCTTTAAAAAGTTTACTATTATTGGTCATGTGGTTTGTACAACCACTATCCACTAGCTAGGTCTCACATTGACTAATATTTCTATAGCAAGAAGCTATAAATAGCTCCTCTTCTTCTTCTTGATTCATAGTTTATGAATCATTGAATTGTTGCTTCCTTTTGTTCTTACAGTATTCCGTCTACATGCCCCATTTGATTACACTTATTGCATTCTACATTAGGTCCGCTACAAGACTTAAAATGATGATTAGTTCTGCCATAATGCTAACGGGGAGGATAATTAATTACTCCTTGATGGTTACTTATGCTAGTACCACTACTGCTTGCACCTTGGATTCCATTTGCTCCATGATTACCTTTTTTCTTTTTCCATCTTTTCTTTTTGCCTTTGCCAAAATCCCGATTCTATTGAATCCGCACCTTAGCATGTATTGCTCCTTCAAGTGTGATTCCTCTCTAATCTATTTTCTTCGCCTACGAGCTTTTAATGCATTTAAAAGCTCAACTAATCCGATCTCTGTGAGGTCTTTAATTTCCTTTAGTGTAAAGATCTTAGCCTTAAATCTTTTAGGTAACGTCACCAAAAGCTTCTCCACCACCCTACTCGTTAGGCATCACTTTACTAATGAGTCTTAATTTGTTAACTAATTTTAGCAATCTATCTATATGCTCATTTGCGGTCTCATAGTTCTTCATCCTTTATAACTTAAATTCTCTTTTGAGATTCAAGACCCTCATGCTCCTTGTTCTTGTATTTTCTTGAAACTCATGCTTGAGATACTCGTTAGATTTGTAAGGGTATTTCTAGGTTCATAATCTTGGTAAACGGGTTGTTAGACATAACCGAATATAAGCGAGGTTTTGGCTTTGAAAAGCTTGGATGTTTTCTCCTTATGACTCTTGATCTACTGAATTAAGGATTCTTTTATGAATGGTAAAACCACTAGCTCCTCTACTACAGACTTCCCAAAGATTCCAAGTTTGCAAATATGCTCGTTATTTTGACAACCCATGACCGGTAATTCCTACCGAGTGAAAATAGGAGCTGGAATAGGAGAAAAACTATTTGAGGTCATTTTAAATTGCACTTGTGAAAGGAATTTGGATAGTATAGGTGTTTGGCTGGTACTTTCACCCTCGTGTTTGATATACTGACTCTCGATTCATCGATAAATTGCACACACACACGGATCCCTTAAGAAATAGCTTTGATACCAATTGTT